AGGCTGGAGTACAATGGCATGATCTTGTCTCACCGCAACCTCTGCCTCCCGGGTTCAAGCGATTCTCCTGCCTCAGCCTCCTAAGTAGCTGGGATTACAGGCATGCACCATCATGCCCAGCTAATTTCGTATTTTTAGTAGAGATGAGGTTTCTCTATGTTGATCAGGCTGGCCTTGAACTCCTGACCTCAGGGATCCACCCACCTCGGCCTCCCAAAGTTCTGGGATTACAGGCGTGAGCCACTGAGCACAGCTGAGGGAGTGCTTTGAAAGACACCATTTGGAAAAGCCACATCCATGCATATGTCATTGGCCATGACTGAACCCACTTAACCGCCTTTATCCTTAACAGAGTCATTTAGCTGAGCTTGGCTAAAATTGGGGTTTCTGATACCAAAAAAGACAAGCAGTGTGACAATAACTGCTACCCACAGCAGGTGTGTGGTACTATGAAGGCCTGTGAAAAGAGCATAGAGAGGGTAAACGAGTCTTCTTTGAGACAGAGACAACTGACCGGAGAAACAGGTGTTTGCCAGGCAAGTGGGGAGGGGTCTGAGGATGAGCTCCGGGATGACAGAACAGAACGAATGTCTGTGACTGGGCACGGACAATCTTCATGCTGCACCATCTGTCGTACACCACAAGTTGAAAACCATGATGGCTGGGTTCTCTGTCCTCCATCTAGACTCTTCCATAAGAAGTGATGCCAGGATGTCTCATCCCTGCTTTCTCTTATGGGTGACGCCCAGATGGAAGGGCCCACGAGGTCCACAGGCCCTCCAGGGGTGTGGGTTTGTGCTGCTACTGTGTGCTTGTGTGAGAAGCAGCACTGGTTGGGACAGACATGGGGCCACCCAGAGCCTTGTCCTTGACTTTCAACAGGAGCATTTCCCGACTAGATGACCTTGGGGAGCTACTTAACCATTCTAAATATTGTCTGTTTCCTCACCTATAAATTGAGAAGATACTAATATCTCATCCAGAGATTCACTATAAAAAGCAAAAGAGCTAAAACTGATAAAGCATTTAGCCACCTGGCTATGGGAAAAGTCCAGTCAACAGCGACTATTTCTGTTATTGCTGTCACCTTCATCTTCATCATTTGCTCTCCTTCATTCCCTTCTGAATGATACATTCTCCATCTTTTCATGTTTGAATGTGACGTGTCACCTGAAGCGTACCCTGCACCCAGCTTCTCCTTAGGAGTGTGTCAACCCACAGCACACCACCACTTGTTTCTTTACCCTCCTTTTGGAAAAACAACTTGAGGATGGATTCAGTTATACATTGAAGCTTACGATCTGCGATGTGGGCCAGGAAGAAACCCAGTGCTGCCTGTCCAGACCCCTCGTGGAGTAAATGAGGAAATAGACCCAGGAAGGCAGAGGCCGCTTGGCAATGCCTAACAAGGTGGCTTTGAAGAAGAAAACATCTCCCCAGTGTGTTGAGGAAAAGATGTCTCCTTGTCTGGGGCCTGATCATGATGGGAAGTGCCCAGGCTGGTTTTTTGCATATCTAGGGGTCACTGAGACAATTAGTCATAGACAGACATCTATACCAAGCTGTGACAACGTAAGTTTCAGATCTGTTCCTCTAGCAGATATATTTTTCTCTTGAAGGCCATTAGCTTGGGTGATTAACATGGTGGTGGGGGGGTGTTGATTCAAGGATTTGAGGCAGTTACCCTGATTATCTTCCCCTGGCATCAACTCTGGGTATATCCTAGTAATAAGGTATCTTATTTAACAAGGGAAGTACCAGTCACAGGTTAGAGGACTTCACACGTACATATGGGAAAGATGCCTTCTCTGCCCTCTTGGAGCAGGACAGAAAGGCATTATGAAAGAATTACGTAGTCACTCAAGTTGTGCTTAGAACTACAGAGGAGCAGCCCAGGGAAATATTTTGCCATTTCTTGTTTATAACAAGTGCTGCTAATTGGTTACAATATTCTTTTGTTTGTTTGTTTGTTTGTTTTTGTTTTTTTGAGACATCATCTCACTCTGTCGCCCAGGCTGGAGTGCAGCAGCGCTGACAGGACTCACTGCAGCCTCAACCTCCTGGGCGCAGGTGATCCTCCCACCTCAGCCTCCCGAGTAGCTGGGAATACAGGCATGTGCCACCATCCCTAGCTAATGTTTTTGTATTTTTTGTAGAGATGGAATTTCACTATGTTGCCCAGGCTGGTCTCAAGCTCCTAGACTCAAGCAATCTGCCCACCTTGGCTTCCCAGGGTACTGGGATTACAGGTGTGAGCCACCACACCTGGCCGGTTATATAATTCTTTCCAGTGAAACTCAGGTGTGACTTCAGAATCCTTTTTAATATGGCCCTTCATCCAGCCATTGCTAATGAGTCAGAGCTGGTTCTTGAGGCAAAACCTAGTGGCTATCCAAGATCTGGCCATTCCCCAGGCCTCTCTCCATCATTCCACTTTACAGAGAAGCACACTGGTTGGGGGAAGGCATGTGCCTCAAGACTTGAGCCAGAGGCCAAAGTGGACCAGGTAACCGGATGGTCTGGCCCCTAGGGCAGGGCCCTGCACACAATTCATGAATGCTGGGTGATGATGTATTGGGGAACCAGCTCCCAGCAGCAGCAGCATCTGTGGCCACAGAGGATCTGATCTAAATGTGTACTGTTCTACCCTGAGACTACTTCAGAGAGGTCCAGCCTGGTTAGGGCATCACAAGCTGTAATTTACACTATTTAAAAGCTCCAATAGGAAAGTTGCCCTTTGTTCTCCCAGGTTATTTCTTGAGAGAAATATATGTTTTGCGGGGAGGTTGAGGGCAGTCTTAAATGGAGGACATCACCACAAAGGCCTGGTCTGTCATTTTCCTTCCCAGGATTTCTTCCCATGTGCTTAAATGGATGAGTCAAAAAGAGTTGTTTCCTGCTCAAAAAAGATAAAACAGAGAGAGAGAAAGAGACAGGCAGACAGACAGACAGACAGACAGACAGACAGAGAGACAGACAGACAGAAAGACAGAAGGACAGAAAGGGCAGCTTTCCTGTCAAAGAGACCTGCAAAGTCCAGTGCAGGGCTTCACTTTGGTATTTATTTTGCAGTCCATCAAACGTTTGTCATACGCATGGCCCCGTGTGTTCGCAGGACATAGCTGTGATTCAGCATAAACGCTTTCCTAAGAAAATATACATTTTTCATTCCACAGTGTTCATGTATCCAAGGTTTCTTTCCTCTTGTGTGAAAAGTTATTTAATATTTGAGAAACGTTTTTTAAAGTGATTCCTCATTTTAGGCTCAGTTTCTCACTTTGTGGTCCATTTTTTTCCTGAACTCTTGAAAAGCACTGGAGGAGCTCATGAGCTTCCCTTATGAATAGTTCAGCCATAACTAGGAGGGAGGAATCAGGAAAACATGCTTGTATTTCTATCTTCTTAAATTGGGAGACCTGTTTAAGATAAAAGTGTTGGAAATTGAGTGTTGGAGAAGTTGGAATCTGCTTTTCATAGACATTCTCAATACCATTTTGGAGACATCTCTGAGATCCAAAACATCTTATTTGTTCTACTCTTTGTGGGCTCCATCCACAGGGGCAGGGGCTTAGGACAGGATTAAGAGAGCCTGGTCTTTGTGCATCAGAAGAGAAAGAATTTACCAGAGTAAAAAGAATGGAAAAGTCCAATGATTCAAGTAGAGACCTTAAGATGTCCGATTTAACCTGCCAGCACTTCTGATGTCCTGAACCCTAGAGAGACAGAGAGCAAGTCTGCTGTCACAATTCCCAAGTGTTTGCAGTCTTTATTTATGTGTGAATTGAGTTGAATTTGCATGTTCTAAAGCCAGGCAGCACACTACTATGAGTCTTTATCTATGAGACATTGTATAATTACTTAACCTTTAAGTTTCATTTTAGTTTTCATCTGAAAAATAGGGATACCTAGCATTGGGTTGCTGTGATTTAATGGGGTACTGCAAGGACTTAGCGCACTGCCAGGTGACAAGCTCACACTCGATAAATGTTAGTCCCTATGATGGGAAGTAAATCTTGGTAATGATGTAATCCTTAGATTGGGTATTTAATACATGGATAATGTTCATTCCATTCCAGATTAGAAAAATGCTTTTCAAAAACACTGCACGCTGTAATGGCAGTCATAATACTGTGGCATTAAACCACAGCCCAATACTCTCACACAGAAATATAGACAAATATGTCTCATAAATGTTCATCTTTTTCCACATAGTCATGAATTTCAGTTCCTCGCCTGTGCCACTGGGAAAGCTGTTATGGTCTGACTTTATGGATTGACTGACTGCTTTTTCCTTGTTCTTAGAACATCAGCTTTACTTTAAATGCACAAATCCTTGTGCATACTTCCTTAACCACCAGTAAAGGGAACAGTTAATGTGCTACAAAGCAAGAAAAATTGACTTTAAAAACCGAGCATTTTTCTAATGGTCTTACCTTTATATACAGCAGGGTTTCTCAAGGTTGGCACTGTGGATATATTGGCTGGGAAATTTCTTTTTGTGGGGGCCCTGTCCTGTGCATTGTAGGATGTTCTACAGTATCCCTTGGCCCCTACCCTCTAGAGGCCAACAGCTCTCACTCCCTTCCCTTTCACCCGCCGGTTGTGACAACCCCAAATGTCTTCAGATGGGCCTCCTCCAGTTGAAAACTGCTGGTCAAAGGAAGAAGGAACTGGGTCATAGAATTGTGCCCTTCAGATCACTGGCCAGAAGAGCCTCGGTTTCAGCTTTATAGGAGATTACCTACTGCTTTGGATGTGGTGATTCCCAAAACACATGCTGGAAAGCTCGTAGATTATCTGTTGATACCACGATTCAGAAAGCAGGTCAAATAATCAGCACCGTAACTTTGTTTTGAAAAATAACTTGCTTTACCTCTATTTCACTCTTCTCGCCATTTTCGTTTCTCAACTGGCAAATGGAAACAAAATGAAGTTTTCCCATTAATCTTCTTATATAATGACTTTTTTCTTTTGTTTTGTTTTGTTTTCTCCCCCTTCAGCTCCCTCAGGCACAAAAGGTAAATTCTTTTCTTTGCATTCCAGTCACCCCCAGAACTCACGAGTCGTGCATGCCTCCATGGTGTTGTACATTTGGCACTGTTCATGACCAGTGAAATGGTTTTTTTCACACGGCTTCAGAAACCTGAAGTTGGGCAGGAACAGAGAGGCCAGCCCACTCAGTTGTCCACTGCTCCTTTACTGAGTTAGTCCCTCCAAAGGACCCTGTGGTGGCCAGTGATTGGGGGGTGAATCCATGCCTAACTGTTTCTCTAAGAATTATCAAATAAATAGGTCAAGAATAAGTCTGGCACATTCCTTCCAGCATAGCATTCCAGGCCTTCTCTGAAATAATTTTTAGGGAGACAAATAATGTGAATAATTCGTAAGGTGTGGTGACCAAGTTTAAATTTGGGGCTCCTAGCCAAATCTCCAAAAACTCTTCTTGGATTTTATTAATTGTAAAAATCGGCAGCTCCTTTGTTGGCCTCATCATCCCAGAGACCATTAGAGCAGATTTCTTGCCAATGGCCAGACCCTTTCACTGGTCCTCATTGTCTGAGATGATCTAGTTCCACCATCTAGAATGTTCTCTGTCCAGAAAGACTCCATGTGGCTGCAGTGATGGCTTTGCTGTGTCACCCTCATAACATGTCATTGTATCCTTAAGGACATTTATGTCAGAAAATATGTCACTCAGTGCCTGCCGCATTGTTCTTGTGTATTTCACAAACATAAGCGAGACTTCTGGAAGACACAGCAATTTCTGGGGGCCAAATGTTTTGTTTCAAGAGTTAAGGTGGGGCACCACCCTGAAATTTAAACAGCATCTCCTTTGGTTCCTTCTCACTGAGAGAGAGCACAACTGCTCTACTAAAGACAGTCTGTTCAGACCATATGGACAACCAGAGGCCTAGAAATCATTACACAATTACTCAAATGTATTTGAGATATTTAAACAAGGCAAGACATGCTAGTGTGTGACTTGGCTTGCGGTAATGTTTGATTACACTTCAGTGCCGTCACAAAAGGACTGAACACTTCATTAAAAGTTAAAAGTATTCAAGACTCACAACAGCTTCCAGGATAAATAAATGGTCAGAATTCCAGATTGTTTGGAAGGCTCAGTGTCTTTGATAGGACAGGCTTTCTTAATTGCCTGCATTTGAATTTTTTTGATAGAGAGACTTCACAAATTCTGTGCCTAAAAATGGGCCAGCCTCAATTTATTGGCATTTATTCACCAAATTTCCACTGATCCATATACGAAGTATTCCTGTTACAGAAGATGCTTCATGAATTGGAGGTGCCATAAGCTATAGAATTTTATTTTATTTTATTTTTTGAGACAGAGCCTTGCTGTGTCACCCAGGCTGGAGTGCAAGGGTGTGATCTCAGCTCACTGCAGCCTCAGCCTCCTGGGTTCAAACGATTCTCCTGCCTTAGCCTCCTGAGTAGCTGGGATTACAGATGTGCACCACTGTACCCGGCTTATTTTTGTATTTTTAATGGAGACAGGGTTTCACCAGGTTGGCCAGGCCGATCTTGAACTCCTGACCTCAGTTGAATCTACCCACCTTGGCCTCCCAAAGTATTGGGATTACAGGCGTGAGCCACTGCACCCAACCAGCCATAGAATTTTTAAACAAAGTTCAAAACAGAGCAACACAGAATATAGTAAGAACAAATGTTGCTGGGTATATAATTGTTCAGTAGCACTTCATTGCACTCGCTTCTTATATCATCATGCATTGACTCACATCACATGCCCCGTGAAGTGGAGCATATTATTGTGGTCATCTGAAGTCCAAAGTCAAGAAAGCTGCCTCAGCTGGCTTCCTCATTCTTTTTCCTGTCTCTGAGTTATGTCAGACATACCAAGGGACTTGTTCTGTAGCCCTATGTGAAAAGGAATAGCCTTGCCTTCTGCTCCTCATGGCTAGAAATTGTCTTTTTTTCTATTAAAATGGAGAAAGGCACTTACCTTACAAAATATTAAGAGATCTATGTTACATAGTTTCAGAACGCTTTGTGGGTAGTTTCTGGGAAATTCAGCTCTTTGAAGAAGGAGTTTGAACATAAGCCTCGGGTGTCCAGGCTAGAGGGTGAGAAGAGTCGAGGGAGAGGTGCACTACAGATTGCAGGCATCCTCCCAAAGGCTGCAAGTCTCCACCTGGTGATGTGTCAGCATCCCTGCCCCCAACTCTTTCCCACCCATTCCCCAGTATTACCTCAGTGACACTTGCAGAGGCCTTTGCTAGAAGGCTGAGATTCTTCAAAGTGTCAGCTTTCCTTAGATTTACTGTCTTGCTGCTTGACCAGCAAAGGAATGTGGTGGTTCCATTTTAGCCTTCACCCATTTGATACCATGCATAAGTTACTTAACCTCTCTAAGCCTAAGTGTTTTTATTTATTTAAGGAGAATGATAAGCTAACTTTCCACTTTTGTTTTGAGAGTTATTTCTGTTACCTGTTCCTCACACAGAGCCTGGCGTATGCTAAACCCTCAAAATGTAGAGTTCTCATTACCACTTGGCTTGACAACCCCTGGTGCTTCAGTGCACATCAAGAGAGCAGTCATGTGTGAGGGGTGGTCTGCTTCCTCTGCACAGTGTTTTGTGATTCTGACTCAAGCCTAATGAATAATTGGGAGAGGAGAAAAGAGCCCAGCAGGTATGTAGCGCTCCCCCCATTTCATTAGAAACTAGGTGTTGAACTGACTGCACCTTCTATATGTAGTCAGAAGGAAATGGAGATTGCTCTTGAAACCCCAACAAAGCAAAGACTTGTAGAAATAATTGTTTTGAGAGGTTTCCTCCTAATGCCTTTGACATTACCCATAGATTTCACTCATCTGTGGCTGTGATTCTAATGAGCTCTTTCCAAACCCCTGAGTTTGTTATTCCAGGGGTGAAAGAGAGGCACCCCCAGCTGCTTTAGCTTTGGCCTGCTTTTCACATGAGGTCATGAGCGCATACATTGGGCCATATGGTGTCTGCATTTGTGCTGTGTTTTTGTTGGAATCTGCCTTTGTATCATCTGCAACTATTTTCTCTATAAATATTTTAAATAGTTATGTCTCTGTAAACATATTTATTTTAATCTCTTGGCTGATCTGCAACTAAAAATGTCCCATTTGGGTGTCCCTCTTATGTGTAGCGGCCATTAATGATTGTTGTCTGTAAGTTATGGTTTTTGTGCTTCTAATATTTTAAGGGTCTTCCAAAACTTCTCTTCTAGTTCTTTATGACAATTTCTTAGAACAACAGTTTGAAAAAAAATTATGTATTTTTTTCTATGATTCTTAAGCATCTCCAAGATAATTGCTAGACTCTATAAATTTCAATCCTTGATATGAAATTGGAGTGGCACTAACTGGTGATGAACCTAATAAATATGAAATATTTTTACCAAATATGGAGGCAGTGTCCTGAAGCTTCGGCTAAAAAATATGTAGCAATACAGACGCAACACTTTGAAGGCATTACAAATTCGTTCTTCTGGGTGGAAATTGGACCAGTTTCTCCAAGGAATTGATTGTCCCTGAATTCAACAATGATGGGAGGTCCATGTATAAGAAAGCTCTGCCTTTTTAAAATTCTTCTTTACTTCTACAAAAATGTCTGAGAGATCCAATTTTATGATAATAACATAGCAGAATTATTCAAAGCCATTTACAAATATATGTTCAAAATATTGAACAAAATAGTCCATTTTTTTCTAGCTTCATTTTTTCTTCATGTAAGTTCTGTCTATAGGAGCTAAACATCAGTTATTCACTGCAAGATGAATTTAATCAGTATAGGTTTAATCAATGGAGAGTGGGCCTTAAATGTTTAAAGTCAAAAATACTCCTCTGGGAATTCCAAACATGGCTGCTTACGTGGATTAATGTGTCCAGACACTGGTACCATTTCCCTTCATTTTCTGCTGCGTCCATACAACTTTGGAATTTGCCAAAGACAATTTCTTAAAGGTTTCCTAGGTGCTCTGTCTTTCCTGACACCACATTAGTTAGTATCAGCCTGAGAATTCTGAGTAGGCATAAGCATTTTTCACAAAACCATAGTTAAAGCAAACCACATCTCTAATCCTGTTTGGAGCAGCAATTGATGCATTCAGGGCCACACAGTATGGCAAAATGATCCCTGTTTAATAGCCCGACCGCATGTTTTGTTTCCTGTTAGGAATAGCTTAACTTGCCTCCTTGAACAAACACAGCAGGGTTCAAGATCTGTTGTTCTATGCCTGCTGTGATATTCTGTGCTGCTTAACTTATATGAGGACTCAGGAGTGCATAAATTAGCTTCTTAAATGGAGGTCGACTTTTGGTCTTTCTTTCAGTATGGAACTGTTTTATTAATTTCTCCCCCTGGGTGCAAATGGCATCCTGAATCTGTTTGCATTCTTTTTTGTTTCCTTGTTTATGTTATATTTTTGAGGAATAAATGGAAGTATTCATTTATCTAGAGTTCTTTCTTTCTTTCTTTCTTTCTTTCTTTCTTTCTTTCTTTCTTTCTTTCTTTCTTTTCTTTCTTTCTTTCTTTCTTCCTTTC